TGATTTGAATATTTATGAAAGATGATTATGGTTCATTAATACTTAATATTATGAAACAATCAAATTTTTTATGGAATCACATATTCATCAAATTAAATGGACGATTGAGGTTGAGTTGTATTGGTTGTACAAATGTAAATGGTTGCATAATAACTCACATTTCTCTCTCTCTGTCTCTCTCTCTCTCTCTCTATATATATATATATATACACACACACATACATACACACACATCAAGGACAAATCTAGAATATTTTTCACACGGTGGCACCGCTTGACTATAAGAAAAAGATATAGGGAAAAAAATATCAAACAGTGGCACCATTTGACTATAAGAAACAAATGTATAAAGTTTATTTTTCAAACGATGACACCATTTGACTAAGAAAATGACATTAACATGATTCAAACTTAGGTCTGGGGTGGAATAAAAGCCTTGCAAACTAACTCTACAAAATAAAACTTGTTCTCATTGAATTTTCAAAATACATACGGTAGCACACAACAAATTAATACGGTTGCACCTTTCACGAACTTAATTTTTTTTACCATTCGACAGAGGAATAATATGGTGGCACGTGTCACCGTATTCTCTACTCTAGGTCCGTCCATGACACACACACACACTTGAAGGTTTAAATAAAGGGAAAAGTACAATAAAAACCAATGAACTTTCTTGTTTGGAATGATTAAGTCCTTGAACTTTTTTTGGAACAAATAAGTCCTTGAACTTTCCAAAACATGTTAAATAAGTCCTTGGACAATTTTTTGGCACAAATAAGTCCTTGAACATTCTAAAATATATTAAATAAGTCCTTAGACATTCCAAAAAATGTTAAATAAGTCATTGGACAATTTTTGGAACAAATAAGTCCTTGAACAATCCAAAACATGTTAAATAACTTCTTGAACTTTTATAAAACATGTTGGATACATTCTTATGACTTGTACTAAGTACTTTTTTGTTATATTTGTTTAATTGTATAGATCAAAATACTTTTTGGTTCAAAAAATATTTAGGGGCTTAATCGTTCAAAATATGAATGTTCATTGGGTTTTTTTCCGGAATTTTTTCACTATTTTACCACTTTATTTTTTTCAAAAAGTTATTTAACATGTTTTGGATTGTTCAAGGACTTATTTGTTCCAAAAATTGTCCAAGGACTTATTTAACATTTTTTGGAATGTCCAAGGACTTATTTGTTCCAAAAATTGTCCAAGGACTTATTTAACATTTTTTGGAATGTCCAAGGACTTATTTGTTCGAAAAATTGTCCAAGGACTTATTTAACATATTTTGGAATGTTTAAGGACTTATTTAACATGTTTTGGAAAGTCTAAGGACTTATTTGTTCCAAAAAAAAGTTCAAGGACTTAATCATTTCAAACAAGAAAGTTCATTGGTTTTTATTGTACTTTTCCCTTAAATAAAAAACCAAATATGGTAAAAAAAAGTTTATAAAAGGTTCATATGTTAATTATTTTAAAAAGTCTATTTGAAGATACATATATAAACTCATATTAAAACGGTAACGTCGGCTCACACATACATATATATTCAAATAGATTTTTTCTTAATTCACATATAGACATTTCTTCTTACCTTTTACAATACTTTTGCTTTCTTATTTGAACCATCCCTATATATATGGACAAGATCAAACAAAAAAACCTATAGTTTATGAGAATGCAACAACTTCATGAAACACAATAAAAAATAACTCTATAAATGTCAAGTTAAAAGGAATAAACTGTTCATTTTTTAAGTACATTCCAACTTAAAAAAATAGTTTTAAACGTTTTACATATGAAACAATAATGCATAGTCGTTATATTTGGATAACAAGATATATATGTATGTATATATATATATATGTATGTATATATATATATATATATATGTATGTATGTATATATATATATATGTATGTATGTATGAGTGATTGTATGTATTATTGAGAAACACATGGTCAAGGGGATAATGTCACCATTTCCAATAATTTCACTGAAGAAGAAATGATTAAAATAAAATTATTAGATCTATGAAAAACTGGTCAAATTTATCATTGGATATGTATCTATCATTTTTAAAACGAATTAATTATAAAATGAGAATATATATTGCTTTCTAATTAAAGTATTATTTTATTGTACAATTTGTAATATTCTGAAGCAGTTTATTTAATTAATCATCAAATTTATTAGGACATCATAGTAACTAAAAATAACATGATTTTTTATTATTATCTTAAATTAACTTTTAAATCAAATTAACCAGATAACTCATTTCTTGATCTTTGACTCCGTTAGTTAATAAGAACGTCAATGGAGTTTTTAAAACCAATTAAATTCATCCTCCTGATTTATCAAAACCGGTTATTATGGTAAAATTACGGATAGATCCGTTAATTTAAGGGGTATATTGGTCTTTTTATTTTAAGGATTTCATAACATTAACCACTGAGTTTCTAATAAAAGATAAAAAGTATTATATTATGAACATGTATTAGGATAATGAGACGTGTGAGGTGACCCACATCCCATTCCTTCCCCTTCCCCTTGTCGTACGTCATCCTTCGACACCCATCAAGGACACATAGACCATGCCTTGACGTTAACCCTTTCAAACTCTTATCAGAATCCAAATCAAAACCCTAAATCAAAATCCAAAATCAAAACCCAAATCAAAAACGAGAGAAAAGATGGAGTCAAAGTTAGATATGAGATGAGATGGAGGTGTGAGAGTTTTAGAAGAACATGAAAGTGAGAGCTTTGGAGGCAATGAGAATGGAGTCGTATGCATGAAGTGAGGCAATGAGAAAGATGAAGAGAGGGAAGGGGGTGCGGATATTGAAATGAGGGCACTATTTTTAATCACATACGATTCACATATACATATATATATATATATATACATATATAGAGTTGAGATCATGTGAGACCAAAGGTTTTTCGTGAGACCCCTAAGACCAATTCTCAATCCTTAGTCTTACGGGTCTCACGAAAAACTCTTAGTGAACCTAATCATATATATATATATATATATATATATATATATATATGCTTAATTTTTAATAGAAAGTTAAAAGAAATAAAAAAACAAGACCAAAATACCTCTAAGCTAATGTAAGTTAGTTTAAGGGATCAAAAGTAAAACTAAATGACAACCACAATGATCAAAAATGTAATTAGTTTAAAAGAGGAATGATAGTTGATAGTAAATGACAACTACAAAAACCAAAATTGTAATTTATTCTAAATCCTTATTAATAGAATGAAAGGAATATGTAATTTCTCCATCAATGTCTCTGCATATTAATAACAAAATATAATGAACCAATTAATATTTCATTTGTATTAGTCATTCCAAAACATTTATATGATTTGCATTTGAAATCTCTTATATACACATATAAATACACACACACATATGTATACGTGTGTGTGTGTGTGTGTGAAGGATCGTGTGAGAATAAGGGTTTAGGTGAGAAGCATAAGATATCTGAATCCTCAATTACTTTTAATCTAATGTCCACCTGTGAATTGCAGTTTAGAAGAAAATAGATCCAGTACATCGTGAAGCATCTCATTAGTGTTGACATTCAATTAGGATTGACCCAAGGGTGAAGATCTCTTTTTATGCTAATCACCATATAGGATTAGGTTTCCTATGAGAAGAAAGTAATGGTGAGAAGCGTAAGAAGAGTCCTCCACCCTTGGATCAATCATAATTGAATGTCAATACTAATGAGGTGCATCGAGATGCAGCAGATTAATTCACTTCTAAAACGCAATTCATGGATGGACATTAGATTAAAACTGATCAAAGATTCAGATCGCTTCTTACGTTTCTCATCGTAACTTCACTTCTCATATTATATAAGGTTCATATGAGAAATGATACATATATAAGAAAATAAGAGAATGACCAAATCACATGTGATCTTACACTAACATCATATATAAAATCACATGTGATTCACGCGACCTTGTCATGCGACCATACAGGAACAAACCTACCCTTTAGGACATGGTTGCCTATGAAACCATACAAATGTAAGACCTAAATGTAAATTTTATAAAATATACAAGTGTAAAATCATAAGTTTTTTGCGGATTAAACTATAAGATCTTTTGGGTCAAAAACATAATTATCAAAATGTAAGAAATTAATTTGCTAAACTTGAATAATATGATTGGAAAACAGTTACTCTTTTAACCCTTTAAATAATTTAATGGTTTTAATTTACTTCCTTTCTTTTTTCTAATTTTTATTTTATATTAATTAATTAAATAATTATCAATTAAAATACACTAAAGACACGTATTTTATTTTACACCATTAACAAGATTTCATCAATACATTCAAAAATATTGAAATTTTTTAAAATTAATTATATTTTTAATGTTAACACAAATAAAAAACAATATATTTTTAACATTAATTTTATTCGTGTATGATAAAACTGTATTTTTTAATTAATTTTTACTTTATATTACGAAGTTAGTTGTTGTAAACACTTCGAAAATTTTCTAGATCCACCTCTACGATCATAGTGTCATCCAAACACTTTTTTGGTTGTTAATGTACATGTGATTTTGTACACAATTTGTCAATTCTGTTATTTTCTTAAATATCATTTTCATATGAACATATGATCCCTCTATATATACATATACATCAAATATGGTCAAATAAAATGAAATGTTGAAGTTATTTTTTGAATTAATTTATAAATAGCAAAACAGTATATTAAATTATAAATAAATACCTTAACTTTAAATTCCAATGAATACTAATTTGAATTGAATGTCGTATGTGATATTTTCTTTTTAAAATAATTTTAGCGTATATTATAAATTATAAATATTATCACGATAACCATATGACGGATTTTGTTTTCTCAGTGGCCATCAGTCTGAATACCCCGATGCCTGTAAAGAATTTGTCTGAAGTGCTCAGACTCTGGGATTAGTTGTGCCGCATACAAACTACTCCAGACACCCAAAGTTACCAAAATGATATAGAAACGAAGCTAGAAAACAAATTTTGGTTACACAAGCCGGATCCAAAATACGTCAAGCGTAACTAGATGTTTACCCAAGAGATCGAGACTATGCATTTGTTGTTCTTAAACGCTAGCTCTTGTGAGTTCAACTTGTGCTACGGTTGTGTTGATGGCATCGATAACATCCATCTTTCCACCAATTGCAGCTTCATCCACAGGAGTCCGTTCATGTCTAAGTAACACGAAACCCAAGCAAATCAATTTCAAATATGTGGATATAACCGAAAAGGGTAATGCTAAAAACAAACTCTCAAGCATGTAACATACCGGTTTAGACTTGATACGTCTGCTCCGGCTAGAATCAGTATCTTAACAACCTAAAAATGTGGCTCAAACTGTCATTTTTTTCAAGTAGATAATATTATATTAATAGGGAGCCAGATACCGTTGGACCAATAACCCTTTAGTCAAACTGTCATTGGTTTGTATCTAAATCAAACAAGTCCAGTATATCCCCCGTAGAGGTAGGCTTTGGAAAGAGTAGAATGTATGCAGACCTTATCTCTAACTCAAGGATAGAGAGGAATTATGACACTAAGAAACAACCAAATGGTATTACCTCGATGCGACCATTGAGGCAGGCCCAATGAAGAGGTGTGTTATTCTCCACATTAGAAGCATTGACATCCTGCATTGACAAGAGAAAGATCGATTTGGCTTTGGTTTTAATATATATCCAAGACTTGCAAAGCCGAAAAACAGATATTAAATCAAGAAAAGCCAAAGATTCATGTTGCAATGGCAATGGTTCAAATAAAGCACTCTTTAGAGAACGGAATGAATCTCATAAACATTCCAAAAGGCAATAAAGATTTTTGAACCTATTCTCCACAATACCCTGGTGTATATTGATGATATTCTCTGATGACAGGCCAAAGACTGCTTTTTGCATACCAGATCATCATTTACCAGTGGAAAGTAATGCCATTTGGGTTTAAAATGCTCCTTCTGTTTTCCAAATAACATCAAAGAGATCTATGCAACCACTACAAACCAAACAAACCCAGAGTTGGGGTCTAGGGGTGGGATGTACACAAACCCGACCTCTACCTTCTACATCAAGAAGCAGAACGGTTGTTTCCATGAACACCCTTGGCTTGTGCATAGTTCTTATTGTTCTCTATCATTTAAATCAGCTCCCCTAGGTTTGGTTGGCAAAAGGAATATACATTTTTTTCCAAGATACATGGTTTCTTGGCTTCGTTGTGGTGCATTGCATATAAGTCCATATCTGTAAAGGGCATCTCTATTGATTAGTTTTTTTTGGGAAAAAATGGGTATTTGGTTCAGGCGGATGAATGAAAATGAAATTCATTCTCCCCAGTTTTAACCTGGAATGAAAATTTGGGCTTCTGAGGAATAAACCCATTATATTATATAAAACCAAATAGTTTCTTTTATTTCCATTCCCATAATTACTGCTTAATACCTATAACCAAATACCCCCTCAATATATTTACCATCCGAGTCCAAATACTCTATCAAAGTTATAGATGAGCATACTCAATAGGGATGTATGACCGAAACAACATATAAAAAAAGTTGAGAATAACAGCAAAAGCAAAGACACATGATTAGTGTAATTATGTAAATGAAAATAGAAAGAATGGTCATACTCATCGACCATGTGTTTATCTTACCACTTTATTGCTGATAAGATAGTTCACAATGTCAACATTTCCATTTGCTGAAGCCATATGAAGTGCTACAAATATTGAAAACCAAAGAACCAAGTCAATAAAATAAAACCATAAACAAGACTTGTGGCTAAATTAACATGTAGATAAATCGCATTCAGCATCCGTCGAACAAACTTAGGGGCTGTTTGGTTGGTTTTTCTATTAAGTCCTGTATGGATAAATCTGCTTGTATAGATTGGGAATATTTTTGTTTCGGAGGGTTTTTTAATAACTGGAAGGAGCGTGTCTTTTTAATGGGAGAGACAGTTTGGAAAAAATCTGGCTTTCTGCATAAAGCTCCCTCCTAAAATCTTAATGGATAAACCATTTCCTATACATTAAGCCACTACCAAACAGTCATGTATAGTTGACACTTGACCGAATAAGCCGTGAGTCCCATTAAGCTCATTAAGCTGCTAAGAAATAGACCTTAACCTGAGTTAAATTGTTTATAAGGAAACATGAACATCAACAAGACAAGTTATCATACCTGTTCGCCCTTCTGCATCTTTGGAATCAAGAGAAACCCCAACAGCAGCCAACCTTATTACGTCATCAATATCATTATATCTGGCAGCCTATTTAACAGAATTCAGATGTAATGTAGTTGTACAGATGATAAAAATAGAAATAAAAACAAAATCAAAGTTAAAAGTAGCTCCAAAGAACAGTGAAACTATCCCCTTTATTTGAAATCAAATGTCTCCCTTAAAAACAATTTCCCATCCGATTAACTTATACTATAAATTAGGTCTTGAAGCACTGAAATGAAATCCAAGTAAAAGAATATGAACCAAAAGAGTTCATATACCAATTCCAGAACATAGTTTAAATTATTTACACCTAAATGTAACATCAATGGCTCAAATCTTCGGAAACTCTAATCCAACCATGAAACCCACAAGACATATACTTGTGAATGTGTCATGCAAGGAATAATAAAGTGAGTTATGCAGGGGGGGGGGGGGGGAGAGAAAAAATAGATATATGAAGGAAGTGTGGTGTAAATTGCTGTTACCTCAAGCAACTCCTCCACGTTTTCTGACTCCGTAGCAGTCGGGTTCTGCTCTGCTCTGTTCGCCTCCGCCCCCATTCTTCGAGCACCTGGCGTCTGCATTTGTGAAAGGGGGTATTATGGACTTCGGAGGAAACTAATAAAGAAAGTTGGTCAGGGTGGAATGGACTGGTGTCAGGCTTGCTAAGGTGTACATATCGGGCTAAAATAAGAGGTCAAGAAACGATGACTGTCAATTTGTGGATTTAGTTGCTTGCTTTTTATAAACTCTCGTTTTAGCTCAAAGACAAAATCCACGTAAAACAACCTCACAGTATACTATTAATCCCAATATCACATTATTTACATCTCCAACAAAAATAAAATTTGTAAACAATCAAATAGATAACAATCTAATCTTTCAATCCCACAAATATGATCATAATCTATGTTGATCTGCACTTCTTCTTTACATAACGATTCTCAAATCTTTTCGTTCTCGTACTTCTCTTTTCTGTCAAAATAGTGGGTTGGGTTGCAAAAGTTTTCAAAGAGTTGCAGTTAGGCCTAATGAGAATCATGGTTTTATATAATATTGATGTCAATTATTTTTAAGATCATTATAAATATCATGGTATTTGTTAGGGTTGTGATTGTCGTTGTTAGAGGTCATGGTGGAGATGCTGGCGGCGACCCTCCTCCAGGATCCACATAGAATACTGGAATCATGTGAAACAGGCAATTTACTTCTCCAATTTTATTTTCATTGATGCCGTGTAGTTTTCTTTTAATTACTTAAAAATCTATAGGCAGTCAAAAAGTAGTTTGAGGCAAGTCAAGGAGTCTAAACCTGTTGGCCGCCTTCGATGCCAATAGATGCAAATAGCAATCAGGTTCAATAGCGCACCTACCAACCTATAGGAAGTACTGATCATTCACCAGGTGCATAAGCAATTGGATAGGTTACACAATTGGGAAAATATTCCTCAAAACTTGAAGATAGATATATTACCTCACCATGATGTAAATATATACTTTCTAACCATTTTTAATTTGAAATATTATTTCCAAACACTATCGATATTGGACTGGGCTAAACGATCATTTATATTGAATACAGGTTAAAGGGGAGGAAATTTTGGGATGTTAATGATGCTGCTTGGAGTTGGAGAAATTGTTCGGATCAGGGAGATGTTTAGAGGCCATATTGTGCACCGAATTGGGGATGGGGCTAGCACTTCTCTTTGGTTTGATAATTAGCATGCTGCTAACCCATTATGCAAATTTATTTCTAGAAGGGATATGCATTTGGCTGGCCTTGATGTTCACTTTGAAGTCCAAGATCTGTGGAATGGGGTTACATCAGTGTAGCCTTAGTTAATGGTTAAAAAAGTACAGTGGTATTCCTGTTGACATTAGGCCTTTCATAAGGGGTGGAGTTCAAGATGTGATCAAATGGAAGGAAAAATTTGGAAGATTTAGTCTTTTGAGGCTGGAGTTGCGTGGAATGATCTTAATCAGCATAGTGAAGATGTACCTTGGGCTAAAAGGGTGTGGTTCAATCAAAATATTCCTAGACACTCTTTCATCTTTTGGTTACACTTGACACGTTCGCTACCTGGAACATTAATGAGGATCAACTTTGTGTTCTGTGTAAGAAGCATGGAGTCTCATTGTAATTTGTTTGTAGAATGTGTCTATTCTAGAGAGAATTTAATGGGGATGACCAAGTTGGCCTTTATCTTCAAAAATGGGGGTGTAGAAGATTCTAGTTGGTCTAACTTGATCTCTAAGCTTACTAATGTTTTGTGTGGTAAATCTAGCTGGAGTTTGATGCAAACATGGGCTTTTGCGGTTATCATCTATTTGTTATTGTAGGAGAGGAACACTAGATTGCTTCAAGACAAGCAGTGTACCAAATTACCATTTACAAATATCCAGAGTTGTTTGAGATTAAAATTCTTGGGGGCTAAATTCAAGAAGAGTGATCAATTGAAGAAGATGTTGGAGTGTGTGGGAGGTGAGAAATGATTTTAATGATGATGAGGAGGTTTAAGTGGTGGAAAGGGGTGTGCATTTGGTTGTTTTATCAAGAGTTGTCATGCTTTTGTCAGTTGTTTGGTTGGGCCAGACCGGGTTTAATCTCTATTTAGCCATGAAGTTTCTTTTTTGGACTGTTGAGTTAGTCCTTCACCTCTGGTTGGTGTGTGTTTTTCTTGTTCTCCCCCCTCCGTGGTCTACTTAAATGGCTGCAATATGGTAGTTGCATTGTCTTCAAAATCGTTCAAGGTGTACGCCACGAGGCGTATCATGAACATGAGGCTCCGCCTCAAGTGAGCTGAACGAAACATACGCCGCAGGTAGGGGAGGCACGTATTGAGGCGGTGAGCATTGGAGCGGCGGAGGCCTCTGGTTGGTGTTTGTCCGGTTGGTTCTTTTCTTGAAAAAGAAGAGAACCTAAAAGTTGTACTTTTTATTTAAAACCTAAGGGGCTGTTGTTTTCTACAGTAAAAAGGGTCCCTCAGTAAAGGATTATCAAGTCCTTGCGCCTATAATCTCTATATCAGTGTCCACTGTCACTTTGCTTGCAATATATATATATATATATACATATTGTATGTGCCCACTAAAATGTACATATATATAGTAGTGTATATATATATTTTATATAAATACCGTATTGTACTATTTGTAAATATTTAGCATGCATATATATATATATATATATATATTGTATTGTATTATTTGTAAATATTTAGTATGCTGTATGCATATATATATGTGTGTGTGCATACTAAATATTTACAAATAGTACAATACAATATTTATCTAATATATATATATATACACTACTATATATATGTACATTTATATATATACATATATATATATATATATATATATATTTGTATAAATATTGTATTAGGGGATGATTCAAATAAGAAGGCTAAATACCGTGAGAAGGTAAGAAGAGAAGGTTCATATGTGAATCCACTTAAAAAATCTATTTAAAGATGCATATGTGAACCTACATTACTTATTATTCTTATGGGTTCATATATGCATCTTCATATGGATTTTTTCAACCATTCATATATGAACCTTCCCTTCTTACCTTCTCACGACATTTAGCCATCTTATCCGAACCTCCATTATTGTGTGTGTGTGTATATATATATATTATACATATCCGCCTTGGGACTTATGCATCGCTTTGTAGAGGGAAAATGCCTCAAGGCCTGACTCGGTTTTTTAAAACCTTGGGTGGTTGATCATTGATCCCACTATGTTGTTTGCTATGGTCCCTTGTTGGTTCTTTATGGTGGCATATTGGTTGTTGATCATTGATCCAGCCACTATGTTATCCTTTTTGGTACTTTCTATGTTATTTTTCTTTAGGTTCTTTTGGTGGGTCATCTCGTTTTCCATTTGTCCCTTACTTTGCTTATGAGAATTGATATGAATTTGGATCTGTATATAAAATCTGCGGGTTCCAAATCTGGGATCTGTGATCTGTGATCAGGCTGGCATATAGGTGGGATCAGATTTATAATTGGTGGATGCTACCTACAAACTCTTACTTCTATGGAGTGCAGAGTTGTCAAAAAATTCAGTGAACATTTACAAGTTTATGCTTTTGCACCTTGTTTTGACCTGGTATGGAAGTTATTTTCCTCTATGCATGATTGGGGAGAGCATTGATGATAAAATGTGAGAATATGGAGGAAGGTTCCTAGAAATAAAGGAGTGGGTTTTTGTTGGAGATTTGGGAGTTATTCAGGTTCGTTTTGATGATAAAATGGTGGAAGGATTATGGATCTCAGATGTGTGGACTTTTATTAAACGTAATAAAGTAATACAACAGAAGGAGATAAACCAAACCCTGTATAACAAAACTGAAGCACAAATCTATGAAATACGGAAACCAAATGAAACTTGTGAACTATGCAAACCAATTGAAAAGTTGTGAAATAAGCAACCAAATTAGTAGATAATCAAAACCAAACAAAATCTGTGAAGAAACCAAATTAACAGACCAGGATTTATCGTAGAGTCCTCTTAAAGAAGGTTTTATGTAAAGTAGCATCAAGCATGACATACTTTAAATTGTACACAAGATACTTAGGGACTGTTTGGTTGGTTTGGTATTTCTCTATGGATAAAGTTGTCTGAGTGGATTTATTTGTCTGTATAGGCTGGGAAGGTTTTTGCATAGATGGAAGAAGCTGGGAGGGGCAGGTTTGAAAAAAACTTAGCTTTCTGCATAAAGCTTCCCCTAGAAGCTTACTGAATAAGCCACTTTCTATATAATTAAGCCACTACCAAACAGTAATGTATAGCTGACCAGTCCATTAAGCTCATTAAGCTGCTAACAAACAACCTCTTACTCATGATATCCCACCAAACTTGATACCATTTTACAAGGAAAAGCTGATTCCTTGACATCTATGAGTTATCAATCTACAACCTGCATGATTACTTCACAATGGATGGTTAAAATGCATTGACATATTGGAAATCCAACTGCAAACCATTCATCATTAACCAAATTAAAGGCCTGTTCGTTAGCAGCTTAATGAGCTTAATGGGACTCACAGCTTAGTTGGTCAGCTATACATGATTGTTTGGTAGTGTCTTAATGATATTGAAAGTGGCTTATTCAGTAAGCTTCTAGGAGGGACCTAAGGTTTTCCAAACCTGCACCTCCCAAATAAAAAATAGGCTCCTTCCATCTATGAAAAAATCTTCACAAATTATACTAACAGATTAATCTAGACAGCTTTATCCATATAGAACTCAATAGAAAACCAACCAGTCAGCCCCTAAGCCATGTGTAATCATTGACAAGATTGGCAGAAAGAAAGGTCAGAAAACATCTCTTTGTTCTTCCCTCTCTCCCCCACAGCACTGTATTTTAACAAGTTCATCCATGGTATTGATATTCGAAATCTAGACCTAACCATTACAAAAATTCCCCACAAGAGTGGCTAAACAACAATGTATATAAGTAAAGTTCGATAACCCAAAAGACAATCAACAACATTCATGAGAAAGAAAAGACCTTGGAAGGAAAAAACACAAAAAGAGAAGCAAGCAGTAACCAAGAAGGATGCTAGGGTTCTTTCTCAGTAACCTAAAATCCAACTAGAAGCAAGTAATATACATATATGAAATTAGACAAGAAAAACTGAAAAACCCCCATTATATCACCAAAAAGAATAAAAATACAGATCGACAAAACCAGAAAGCAAGTCCAGAACGCAAACTCACTTGTGTCCTTGTCAATTCAAGCTCAGAGAAGCGATTACAGCGTCAAGTCGATTAGTATTAGTCGATTCGAGCGTGAACTTGAGAGCGAGAAGATGCTTAGGGCCAGGCCAGTACGTTTTTTCTTCTTAAACTGAGACCAGAGAATAAATTCAGTGATGCGAAAAACCGTTACCGGGCTGGGCCGGTTTTAAGTTTTTTCATATCCGGTTCCAATGTACCCTCTCTCTTACTCGGTCTTCCGTCGAAAACGGTAAGACCAGTCAAGGTTTTTTATAACCGGTTATGAGTTGTTGGTTTCGGTTCCGGCATTAAAAAAGAAAAAATTTAATTTTTTAATAATATATATTTTTAATACACTATAAAATTTGTATTGAGTCATTCAAATACACTTTAAAAATACGTTTTAATATAATTAAAATTACATTGTCTTAAAAAAATATATTATAAAACTATTTGAAGATACATTTATTTATAAAATTATTTGAATTTTCAGGCAGGGGACGGGCCGGTCCATAACCGGTCCCGGTACCACGAAACTACCAAAAACCCCAACCGGTCCTGTTTTCGATCTCATAATCGTCCTTACCGGTCCCGGGCCAGGCCGCACCTTTGCCGATCCCGGTTCTGGTCCTCCGGCGGTCCCGGGCCCGGCCGGGCCGATTTGGCCATCACTACCAGAAATGGCAAAAAATGGGGCCAAATCGATCCCAATTGTTTCTCCGTAACCGGTCTCCTCCAAAATATTAAGGCCCCGGTCTTCATGCTTTATAACTGGTTCTTAGAACCGTCCAAGCTCTTGTTCAAATCGGTCCTAAAATTTTCTTCTCTAAAAAAACAATTTAAACATACAAAATATTGTTTAAATATTTTTCTTTTTGGGTAATATCTTTTTTAATTACATTTTAAAATCTTTAATTGGGTCATTCAAATACACTTTAAAAAATCGGGCCTATGTATAACCGATCCTGGTTCCGGTCCTATAACTGGTCTCGTGCCTGATATTTAGGTATCTTAATACCCCTCTTTTATTTTGAGGTTATATTGGTAAAATATAAGTCTGTTCCACCTTGTTCCACCCTGTTCCATGGGGTAGGGGTCGAACAGGCATGTTCCAGTTTGTTCATGTCTGTTCCACATGAAATTCATGTCAAAGATGGGACAGGGATCTCTGTCCTGTTCTGTCATGTCCCTGTCTAGTGTACCAAACGCACCCTTAGGGAGACACCCCTCTTTTAGACGGAGAAGGGCTACCGTCGCTAACTTGTGGAGGGAGACCACCGTCGAGCCAGGGAATGAAATTTCCTAAAAATCATAACCAGTAAGGGACCATCGAGCCGGTTCCAGTCCCATTCAATCCCAAGACAAGTTGGTAATGGAAAATAAGTTATTCAAATAGAAGCTTTGATGAAGAAAGCCATTTTTTACTGACTTAGATTTACAATAGTGGAAATGCTTTGTTTCAAGTCTGGCAAACCAATAGAAATCTAATGCTTATTCATGACTCATACATGCTGGAATGCCAAAGTTTTAGAATTGGAAGTGATGAGAACGTGCAAGGAGTTGGTCTCTTTGTCAATATTGAACCAAAAGAGCGAGCATTTGGTTGGTGACTCCATCCACTTCTTCACATATTATACTTTTAAATTTGTGACTTGTTTGGTTTTTCTTGTTTTAGTTTGTTCTACCTTGTGTTGAGGGTTGTCCAACTGCTCGAGTTGGAATACATGTGGGAGGTGCTTTAGTTGAAATAAATTGTATGCCAACAACGGATTATTTGGGATTTATCTGTTTACCTGTTTAACAATATACTTTTCATCTTGCATTTGACAAGTTTGCAGATTGTAGTGGAAAAGGATGTAAATAACTTGTATTTTATGTTAGGAAGCTTTTCCCACAAACTATTTCTGAGTTAAGTTGGAAAAAATATGATATAAATACTGAATCTTGTTGATAACCAGGAGAGCGGCTTGATGGCGTCAGTGAGGAGGCAGTTGTGCATAAGCTCATAGATCATGTTGGAGTTGGTATTTTTTTTAATTTCAAGTATTAATGTAGTAAATATGTTTGTTGTGTGCATGTTCTTGGTACCAAACTTATTAATACTCTACGGTGTAAGTTATTTTTCTTGACACGATAAGGTGGATTGCCTGAAGAATTTTTCCTGTGTTAATAAGTTATAAATTTTCTGTTACACAGTCATGAATTGGATTTTCTTAGATTTGACGATTTTACATAGGTTAATATGAAGCAAGTTTGTTCATCTATTAACCATCATGGTCTTATATTGGGCTATTTTAGGTTTTATGTGAGAAGTTCCTCATATTCTTGATGGATTACCATAGAGTTCTATATGCAATTGAAGCTTGTTGTAGCCTTGAGTTTTCTTGTCGTTATGAATGAGTGGTTTATCTTATGTCGTCTGTTTGAATTTTGGTCTTTCAGCAAGACTGATTTTTGGAAAACAAAAGCAATTTATTATCATTATGTGTTTTTCTCATGTGAAGAAGCTACAATGTGATGACTGGGTTATTTGGTATTAAAGTTTGGAGTTGTTTTTGAAATATGGTAGAGAGTTGAGGGGGTTAAATTGTTTATGTGTTTAAATTAATTACCTACTGCCTCATTTGTTTAAAATAAGAGTATTATGAGTGTAAGTTGTATGTTATACTCATGACACGTGTCACCCAGATACACTGCTAATGAGCCATGTAAACCTAAAGGGTTGCACATAAAGAACACGTATGCTTCCACTAAAGAAAAAGAATCTAAACATGTGTACCGTTTTGTGATTATTATAATTACAGGGTTTAATCTATAAATATGTATATAATTATCTTAAATGTTTTTAGATAATTATATAAGATATTATTAGATAGAYAAATAATCATTTTAGATAATGATTAAGCCTTATTAAGAGTTATGGTCAATCTCGAAGACTGGCCATATAAATAAGGCTTAGGGGCTAAACCAAAGTAGAGGATTGAGTTCTGATAACTAGTTGTAGCCTTAAAACCCTTATGATACAATTATAGAATTAGGATTATTTGGGCTAGCACCCGGTGGAAGTTCCAAACGTGTTCGTGTGTGGACAACCGATAGATGAAACCTGATTTGGTTTCTTAGTGCTACATCAAAGTTTCAACTTCAACCACAAGGTATGTATTTTAAACACCCTATGGTTTGTGTAGATTCGTTTTAATTGTCAATGGATCCGGCTTTGGATTTTATTTAGAAAAAAAATTTCTAAACGTTTTTGTAACCGGGTTCTGTTTTTCCGCTGCGTTTTATCTGGTTATTTTCGCAAACTAAAACCCAACAATGATATCAGAGCTACTTTGACAATTATTTCGATTAATCGGAAGTAGTTAAAATGGAATGTCATTAAACGAGATTTACCTTTCAGTTACATTGTTTTCAAAGTCATAATGTTTTCTTATCTTTCATTGAATACTTCGATTGACCTTTCAGTTACACTGTTTTACTTCATTCATATTCATTCAACTGTATTTTCTGATATTAAGAGAATCTGGGTTCCAACAATTGGTATCAGAGCCAACTAATCAAATTATTTGATTAGTCGATCGATATCCATAAGGATACCTCTCTTAATTTTTGGTTATTCGTTTTTAAAACCGTATTTCATTCCAATCTTTGATCTGTTTTAAAAACGTTTGCTTTTCGTATTTTTGAAATCAGTCAAAACTCAACTTCTCACTTTCAAGTCAAATTTCTTCTTCAAATTTTTGAATGATATGTCTAATCAATCGTGGAACTCCATGTACAGCGTCGGTTCCCTCACAAAACCTCCTACTCTCATTAGAGAAAAATATCCCCAATGGAAGATCAGGATGATCAATTTTTATGAAGGTCTCGACCTTGAACTTTATGAATCAATATTAAATGGCCCATTCGTACCTACTACTCTACTCCCCAGAATTCATGCTGCTGGTGACACGGTCGAAGTACCTACCAGACGAGTTCCCAAGCTCCGTAAAGATTGGGATGATGAGGACAAAAGAAGAGTGGAAGTGGACCAAAAAGCCAAGAGGCTTTTAATCATGGCCCTTCTCAACGAGATTTTTCAATCTCTAGATGCCTGCGATTCTGCCAAACATCTATGGGATCAATTGGCAAACCAACTGGAAGGTGAGATTAAGATGAAGAAGAACTATCGTGCTTAATGTCTAAATGAGTACAACAGTTTCCAAGCTCTTCCAAATGAGTCTCTCGAGCAGACTTATCACAGGTTCAACACTCTGATCAACAAATGTAGGAAGTGTGATGTGATCAGAACTCAACAGGAGAACAACATGCTCTTCTTGAAAAGGTTGAATGTAGAATGGGGGAACTTGTCCATGTCCCTCCAGGAGAATCAAGACCTGGAGCAGTGGAGTCTTCATGACGTTTATGGCACCTTGCAAGCGCATGAGCAAGAGGTGCAAAAGGCCAAGGTCGCTCTGGGTGGACCACTGGCCCTTGTCTCTGACTCTGAAGAGACTGGTCCAGTCAACAACACATAGAGAGAAGATCGAAGGAAGAAAAGAGAAGAGGGAAGAAGGCTCTTGTAAAACCCCCAAACTCACATTGCATATAACACATATTTCATTCACAAAATACATGTTCAAGCCCACAAAGGTCCAAAGTACAAAAAGCCAAATACAAAATACACAACTCAAAAAGTCCAAATACATGCTCTTGTACTATATAACATCTACTATAAAAATACATCCATCCATCTTCATAAGGCTAAGCACATAGAGAGATAATTCATAATTTGTCGTTTCCCTTACTATCATTATACTCAACATTTCTTGCAATACATATTTGAAAACACAAAATGAGGGTTAGACCTACAGGTCTAGTGAGATCCTTTTTTCCATGTAGCTGCAGGGTAAAAATCACCAAAACATCATTCAAATGAAATTATTTCACATAATGAAATATAATCCTACATACTGTTTGTGTCCATCGTACCTCTGGTTCCAAAGACCAGACTTAGAAAATATTTTAGCAAACAAGAGGACCAGAGCCCCTCTGGTTCCTCTACCAGAGCTTCTGGTKAAGCCAACCAGAGCCTCTTACTTAAGTAAAACTCTCAAAACGTTCAT